TACAAGGACTCCCTCACAGGAACACCACTAGAAAGGCCAGAAGAACTTCAGGACCCATCCCGCCGCCTTCTCATTCGCCCACAGTATGCCTCGCATCGCATAGCTCGCCATCGTGTTCGCCACATCCGTGGATGTCGTAGCGTTGATGCCTATCTCTCTCTTATCCGCGTCGAACCCGACGACGACGTGCGCGGGGTCAGGCATCCCGATGATCGTCGCTGGGATAGCAGAGGAAAGGGAGATCGGAGTCGTGTCGCTCCACTGATAGTACGTGACGGCATAGTCCGGACGCTGTACCAATCCCCACTTGGTGGTCCCCACAATGATGCGACCGAACTGGTCCTGGGAGGAGACGGCCCTGGTGGTGCCCTCTTCATCGGCTTTGATGTCGAACGCCGCGCTCGGGGCAGGCCAGTCTTCAACGATCCGTGTAGCAGCTGGGAGATCGGCCGGGATCGGCCCTATCTCAGCCACGGTCTCGTCCGTGACCGTCTCCTCGAGGAGATGATTCTCCGCACGGCCATCTGCGATGAACTTCTCTGCAGCGGCTTCGTCGAGCGCGCGAGTGGGAGTACCCGTGAGCTTGAAGATGATCTCGAGACGAGCCCCTGGACTATTACTGCAGAACACCATGGTCGTGAATACGATGTAAATTGCGTAGGACGGAAAAGTCTTACATGGGGAATGGATGAGTGCCATACATCTTCACCTCGCCGATGTACCCGGAATTCTTGCTTGGATCTACGACGATGGGCGCTTGCTACTCATCGTGCCGTTAGCATCACGAATGTCCGGATATAATTTAGAGACAACGTACAACTTGCGAATCATTCACATACAATGCTGCCCTCCACTGCTCCGGCGGGTTAGGAGGCAAGGTGTTGAGTTCGGTGATCGTTAGGGTCATCCCAGGCGGGACGCTACGAATGTAGAGCTTCTGTTTCACTGTGCCGACCATGTTGTTTCCGGTCGCTGGTCAGAGATATGAGAGGGGGATGAAGAATACATGGGCCACTCTTGGAACTGCTTTTATAGCTGGGGTACCTGCCAGCAGAAGTCATGCATGCATGCGGCATTCAGTGGTAGCTGATAATTGCCGCCGGCACGGCAGGCCTCGTACCATCTGACACTCACCACATGATAATTGATGTCAGTTCCATCGTTGCTGCAGACGAATAGAAGACGTGAACGACAAGATAACCCCGGCCTCACCGGTACTAGGATTCAGACCACCCTCAGCTGAGGACTTGGACCGAATTGCGCTTGGCACATATATGGAACCCATGTTGTTCTAAAGACGACCATGGGTCATGAGGAACGGACCGATGGTCCCAGAGCGTTAACGGGGAAACAGAAAGCTGGATGGTCAACTCACACACACACAATCGACAAAATGGATGCACACATCCAAAGAGACACCTGCCTGTTCTGGTTTACAGAGTGCTCGTTTCTCGTCGGCCGCTCATTTCTTCGCGCGCTTGAGGGGCGCCTATAAACGGCTGCTGGGAACCGTGACCGAAAGACCGCTGTCTGAACTTGAGCACCATCCCCCCGATTTTGCTTTAAACGTGCAGAAACATACTTGTGTGTCCACTTCAGGGCTTCCAGCGGTAACAATCGAGTGAACAAGCAGGGTGTAGCCACCCTGCCGATGCGCCGCGACTTGAGCGACCGACATGAATTGAGTATGCCTGCTAGGCTGCACGCATAGGGCGCTAAGTAGGCGCCTGTATACGACAAGAGGAAGGGATACATTTGGACGTGTGCGTCCGTAATGGCGTCGGTTCCCTGTATGGGGTTTGAAATTTGAACCCAATCATCAGCAGTCCAATTGTGCCTCGTTCATAGAACCCCGTCCTCGTACCAAGCGATGCGGGGAAATGCCCCGCGATTAGTGTTGTGCAGGGCCGGGCCGGGCTCAAAACCCCGGGCTAGGGCCCGGCTTTGGAGGGCTCGGGCTCACTGAACACTCGAGCCGGGCCCTAGTGGCGGGCTCGGGCTGGGCCTGGGCTGGGTCAGGCTTAAGCCTGGGCTTGTAGCATATCAGTATGCATCACCGCAGCTACAATACAGATACATCTTCATCGTCACTGTCTAATGCGTAGTCATCCTGTTCCAAATCATCTACTAGCTTGTCCCATGAATGTTGTATTTCCCGG